CTAGAAAGAAATTACAAGCACTTCTTTTTGCACTGAGCCATATACGGTAATTACCTTTGCAAGAGACTGGCAGACACTATGAATCAAACACATGCAAGCTACCAATGTCTGCTGTAACCACTGTGCAACACACCCCCTCTACAAAGACAAAACCACAAGCTGACCGGATGAAGACCCCCCTCCCATAATAAGATAAAAACAAATCGACCGACTGATCATCCCTCCTCCACTCTTGGACAGGCCACAAGGAAATGTTAGCTCTTTATCCCTCTGCTACTGCTCCGAAATCAGCCAGAGAAACACCCGGAAATCCAGCACAGTGCGGCCATTCCCCGCCGAGAAGCGCACACGGCTCGGTCTGCCACAAGTTTGATGCGAGGACCCGGAAACAGGCGGCGGTGTTCACGGTCTAACTGGGTTAATCATTCAATACCGGGGGATCAATCCACCGCATACCGGGCACAGACAGGGGTGTGACAATACAAGAGGGGCAGCATGCAAGCTAGCAAGGGGGGATAACGCTGGAGCAACATTTCTCTCCCGGCAGACATGACACATCAAAACGAAACCGAGTATGGGGATGCTTCGTGAAATAATTCACGGCAGCTACCTTTATGCATCCGCGTCCCGTCACGCCCGCCCCGGCGCTGCCGGGGGGGGGGGGTCCTATGTGTCTACCAACAATAACACGGCCTCCCGACATAAGCTCAGCCCGGGCGAACCGGTGGACAAACGCGCAGTGTTTTTAACCGCTCCCCACGCTCCCTACCACCGTAGTGTGGTTATTAATAAATAACCAGAGGACTACACCTGTCCGCCGAGCCTGCAGCCCCACGGGTCCCGGTGACGCGGATGCTAACAAAGGCCCGAGAGCTGTCTGGAGCGGAAGACCGACACAACGGGAGGAAGGAGGCAGGCAGCAGAAAGGGAGGCAGCCGCTTCAGCCTCGCAAAATATTCTCGTTTAGCGCCCTTTCAGAGCCGCAGTAACGACAATACCCGCACCGAAGCGTGCATAAACACCCCCCTGAGCAACCGCGACCGCTAACGACTCGATACTCACCGGCGGAGAGGGTGGATGGTCGCGGATTTCAGCCCCAGTTTCTCTCTAACACCCCAGGCTTTCACTCCGACAACATGGCGGCTCGACGGAGGAGCAGGCAAGAGCGCTGCATGACGGGAAGGGATGAGAGAGAGCGTACGGTTCACTGCGCCAACCGGGAGGGGAGGGAAGGAGGGTCACACCGGACCGGTCCCTTTGTTATGCATGTTTGTAGTCTGCTTGCACTGCGGGGCGTGTTTATTATTGTTTTACCTGCACCTCATTCACCTGTCTGTTAGCTAAAGGCGAAAAAAGTAAATGCTTTAACAGACGGCAGCTTCTCTGTTCCTCTTGTATCTCAAATAGAATACGTCACTAATTAAATTAAATTATATTGCAATGTTACAATAAAAACTTTATATGTGTGTTTAAGTTTAAAAAAAGATGTAAACATTTTTCAATATATATTTATGGTGCTATCTTCCGCTGCTACAGCCTTCCTTTACTGTGGGCTATACAATGCGCCGGGGTCTCCACGGTAACGGGGTGCGCCACAAGGCCAGCCAGTGCGTGGCTCCCGGACGCTCCGTTACACCTCCGGAATGTGGGCAGACGGCGTGAAAAGGGGGCAGTGAGCGGCCCACATTACAAAAATAACCCAGTGGTCCTTTGGAAATGTGCCAGTGGCGACACCGTGACTGCAGACCGGAGAGAACGCCGTCCACACGCACCCGCGCGCGGATGACGTCATGGGTACAGTAGATAATGGCTACCCTTATAGAAAATGTATTGGGGATCATATGGGGCATTTGTAGGACTCCTCCGGCCCAGTAATCCCGGATTAAATAGCCATAAGTATATAATTAGCGCCACTTGTTATTTTTAGACGCACAAAGTTAAAATAAGATTACCCCCCTCTCTGTCATTTACAATGTTTGAAATTATACCTCTAAGTCTCTATCATATGAGTTCCACTCAGGAACATGGTCAAGTTGTTCTGTATTGTCTTCTTTTTTAATATACTAAAAGTAATCATGATACTTAAATCACAATATAGTAATACACACTTTCAGACACAGCTGCTAATCTTTCTATGAAATTGCTGTTATTTTATTTTGAAATTCAACTTAATTACTTGAAATACACTAAACAGCCATTTTATTAGATACACTTAGCCACCACAAGGTTGAACCCCCTTTATGCCTACAGAGTTTTCTAAATTTTTCTTGGTATACATTCAACCAGCTGCTGGAAACGTTCCTCAGAAATTTTGCTCCATTTTGACGTGACAGCATTGTGTACTGGGAACCTCCTGTTCTACCACATCCCAAAGGTTCTCTTTTGGATTGAGATCTGGTGACACTGGAGGTCATTTGAGTACAATTAACTTATTGTCTTGATCAAAAAATGTTTGAAATGATTTGAGTTTTGGACATGCCATCAGAAGATGGATACACTGTTATTATAAAGATCAGCAATAATACTCAGATAGGCTCTGGCATTTGAACAAAGTCGGTATTATGGGGCTCAAAGTGTGCCAAAAAATCTTCCTGAACCGTCAACGCACGGATGGGTCCATGCTTTCATGTTGCTTACACCAAATCCTACCCCTACCATTCAAATGCTGCAGCAGAAATGGAGTCATCAGACCAGACCATATTTTTCCAGTCTTCTATTGTCCAGTTCTGGTGAACTCATGCAAATTGTACACTCAGTTTCCTGTTCTTAGCTGACAGGACCTGGTGTGGTCTTCTGCTTCTGCAGCCCATCTGCTTCAGAGATGCTCTTCTGCATACCTGTTGTAACGACTGTTTATTTGAGTTTCTGTAGCACTCTGGCCATTCTCCTCTGACAGTTGACATCAACAGGGCATTTTCACCCAGAGAACTGCGGCTCACTGTGGATGTACTCTTTTCCAGACCATTCTCTCTAAACCGTGGAGGTGGTGGTGGAGTGGATCAACAGTTTCTGAAATACTTCAACAACCATACCTTGTTCAAAGTCACTAAAGTTATCTTTCTTCCCCATTCGTTTAAATATCACCACTTAATCTTTACTCTATCTACATGCTTAAATTCACTGGGTTGCTGCCATGTGATTGGGTGACTAGATAACCATATTTTTCCAGTCTTCTGTTGTCCAGACATGTGACTAGATAACAAACTTTTGAACATGTGTACCTAATAAAGTATGAAGTAAAAAAATTCTAATACATTAAAGGTGAGTAATACACATTTTTAGAGGTTTAAAAAGTATATAAGTAATGAAAATTTACGGTGACTGTATTTTCAAATTTAACTGTCTGTTTAGAGTTCATGTTTTAAAAAAATGAAATTAAAGTGATTTTATTTTGAAATTCACACATCAGCTTCATTAATGGATCCCAGTTCAGCAGCGGAGGCATAAAATAAGTCAACTCACATGTACCGTTACTATTATAATGTCACTTTGAGACAATGTTTTGACAGTCAAATCCTCGCTGCAGAACATCAGCCCAGCTGGGTGCATCATTTGGATAACGCTCCTGACTAATCCTCCAAACAATTCAGTGCCTTATAATCCCAATATTATTACAATGTAATCAAAGGATGGAAAGCACTCAATTTATTAAACCCTCCTGGGTGAGACAAATGAGTCTGCACACACACACACACACACACACAAGCACACACGCAGAGACAACAAGAGCCACATTTCATGTAGAAAGTGTAGTTTTATTATTTCAAACTTCTCCTTAACACCCGAGAAGGTTTTCACCTCATACCTGTCTCCCTCCTTCCCTTTTCCTTTCTCCAGTTACATCTACAAAAACTACTCATTACTGTGTATGGTACATTTTCCTCCTCAGTCGCCATGCTCTGGAAATCAGCGAATGAGCTGCAGGAGTGGACGTAGCTCGTGAGATGACGATGGTGGGGAATATTAGCTGCAGATGGGCTTAAAAGAAGGCAGCGTGAGGATGTAAGCAAAACGAGAGGACGAGGGAAACGGGTACTAAGAAAACAAGTCTGGACGTGTAACCCTCTCCTCCCACCGAGTCCCACCCACCTGCCCCCACCCCTTTTTGTTTGTTTTTTCTTTCCCTAAATGGAACCAACAATAACAATCATTGGCTGGTTATTTACATGCACAGTGTCCCCCCCTCCCGTTACCACCCCATAGACACACTAATGCCTGATCCCAAAGCCATCTGCTGATCAACAGTGTTACATGTTACAATATGTTGAATAGATTTTCCTGACAATCACTTTTACTTGATTTCAGAAGCAAGCCAAACCTATAATTTAAAAAAGACAAGGCTGGTGATATTCCATGGTAAAACAAAAACAGCAACGAAATCAGCCTTTTGATAAATATTTTCCATGTTGTGAAAGCGCTCTTGTACAAAACTATTGAAAACCCCATCAGTCAGCCACGCCGTTGCACCAAATTGCACCCCTTTGTCACAACAAAGCTGGGCACTGTAGTTTATTTTAAACACGCACCTCTCCCTCACTGTAAATACTACCTGGACATAAAAATAGTTTCCACAAACGTGCTCTTTATTGCTAAAGAAACTACAGCGTGCAGCTGTTGTAGGAAAGTACAGTAAAACAAATCAGTGCTGGGCGCTACAGGGAAGCTACTGAAAGATGGATGTTTTTTGGTCTTTTCATGTTTTGCCTTGTATTTACCGTAATAATAAACAAGTGAAATATCACCTGCCTTATCTTTTAAGGAATTCACGCTTTTCTATGCGTCCTGGGACCTCAGCAGTGGCTTCGGCTGGAAGGTGAAAGCAGGGAAGGAGGAAGAGGGAGATGGCTTTGGGAGCGGGAATCGTAATCGACTGCTCTACACATCACCACGTTCTAAAAACAACAACAGGTACGAGCCGTGCCTCTTTTTTTATTAGGTGACGGCCCCCCCCCCCCCCAACCCACCACCCCACATTCGACGAGCCAACCCCACCACCCCCAACAAAACAAAACAAAACAAAACAAAGCAAAAACAAAAACAAAAAGAAATCACAGGGGCACCAAGTGGTAAGAGTCCAGGGTGCAACTGCAAAGCACCAGCTAGTCCTGTGGAATTACACAATCACACACACACACACACAGCAGTGGGAGTGTTGAGAGCTGGCAGTTTAGTGAACTGTCCCCTCGGTGAGGCCAGCTCTTGTTCTATGAATCTCTTCTCCCCTCGCCTTCCTCCCGCGTCGCCTTCCTCTCGTCACGCCGCCCGGCATGCTGGTTCTTCCCTGAGCTCTGTACATTCTTTTCAGGGCCATATTTCACTTTCTCAGACACACACACAGTCACACACACTCACACGCCTCTCCGTCTGGGTGGGGTTAAGTCCATTTCTCAGGTAAACTGTGACAGAGTGAGTCCATCCACAGTGACACCATCAGGGTTTGGCCTGAAGGGGGTGCTACCAACAGTTAACCAGCCCTGCAGGGGTGCAGAGAGGATGACATAAGTTAAAGTTACAATATGCTGCACTTTGACATAACTGCATGAAAAAAGGCACTTCACTGATTTTACTCATGAAGTTGAATTTCATGTCATTAAACTGCTCTGCCAAAAAACCAGTCCTGTAATTTTCAAAGGCAGGTTTTCATGCTTTAACGCAAAAACTGTTATGGTTATGAAATGTCTAACATTTTTTAAGATTGATACAAATGTATGGAGTTAAATTAGCCTCAAAAGGATTACAAACTAATACTTACAAGGATAAAAAAATACTGATCATTCCTGCACAAATGTTTACGTTCAAGGACACAAATCTGATCATTTTTACTTTCAAAAAGCTGCTACTTTCAGCTGCTCCCTTATTCACAAGTGGTCGCCACAGTGAGCCGCTCTGCATGTTTGATTTGGCAGATTTTTTTTTTTTTTTTTTTTTTTGCACCAGATTAACACATTCACTTGGCAAGCGAAAGGTCACTGGTTCGACTCCAGGTGGAGACACAAATCCCCTTTGGGTTTGTATCAGGAAGGTCATCCGGTGTAAAACTCTACCAGCCTAGGCGAGTAGCCCAAAGAAGCCCTTCTTGACACAACCCCAAAGGAACAGTATCCTCCCGGATCAAACCGGGGATCTTTCCCTCATTAGGCGACAATGAAAACCTTCTTTTAGCTCACTTAAGAGCTTTGCCTGATACGGAGAGATCTCGTGATGTGTGCACTTGTTTATTTGGAGCATTTTTCACATTTGCAGCTTTGAACGGTTTCTCAAGCTGCGTTCAAGTGCTAGTGAAAAATTGGACACTGGAGGCCTGTAACTGAAGAAGGATTTTGTCTCATCCAGGTAGCTTGAGGGTTAAACCTGGGTTTTCAGTACCATGAAGATGTTTCTCTTTTTAGCGGCGCTCCAGAGCAGGCTAAGTTCTAGATTAGAGATCAGAGGGTATGAAATCACCACCTACTGACCAATCAGTTCTCCAGCAAATTATATCATCATTCCCAGAAGGTCCCATGGACCTCTGTGCGTGGACGGCATGAGGATCGAAAGTTTTTTTAATAGTGTCTAAAGTCTTTGCATTTCCCTGATAATTAGCAATAAATATAGATTCTTATATTATATTTTAAATATAGATTTTAATCACCATTTAATATCTCTGGAGTAGGTGACACTCGCAGGGATCATTTTCTGTGAAAGAAAACTCATATGATCCCATATGATTGCAGAGAGATACCCTGGGTATACTGAACTTGCTTCATAGTCCAGGGCCCTGGCCTTCCCTTGGATTCTAAGAAAAACTAAAAAAGTTTTTAAAGCTACAGGTCTGGATATATATGCATTTGTAAAGGAGTTTTATATTTGTTCAAATTGCTTTGTATTTGTGTGTGGATTGGAGCATGCATTTTGTGAGTACCCAAAAAGTACTCACAAAAACATTGTACACATTTTCATCATCCCTTTGAGACTAACTTAACTCCATACAAATTAAGGACTAAAAACAGATCCTCACTCAGCTTGACTGCACTACATTTATCCAACACCATTACACAATAGCAGTGCTACAATGCTGGAATAGCGCTTGAAAGATTAACAAAGAAAGCAACAAAAACAAAGATATTAAAATAGGAGACATTTGGAGAAGATGGCTGTAACTCACGTGTAAAGAGGCTGCAGCTGCAGATGAGAGGACTTCTGAGGAGGCTGGTAGCCATAAGAATCGAACCCACCAATGAAATCAACTTCATGAGGGGAGAAAGAACAAGAATGACATCATTCCACTTTCCCTTAAACTGTGTGTGTGTGTGTGTGTGTGGGGAGGGTTATATACCAGGTGTTGTATTTCAAGATAACTCTCTCACAGCATCAGATTGTATCATCTTATGCGTTTGGCATGCTTTTATAGACTGCAAACTGTGACATCAGAATGAGCAGAGATACAATACCAATACATCAACCTCCCTACTGCCTTTGTGTCACTGATACATAGTTCTAATCTTTCTCAGTTGATTAAAGGAACAGAGTCATGTGGTGTCGAGTGAAGTAGGATTGATTAGCTGCATCAGTGGGGCTATAAAAAAACAAATAAACATCAAGTTCTGGATCTGTTTTCTCTACAGCTAGAACTGAACAGCTCCATCATTTTAAAGTAAGAATGTTGTAATGCTTTCTTTTTACAATGAAGCACAAACGTGGTTTAAAAAAAGGCATTTAGTTATTTATTGATGTGTACACACTTATAGAGCTTTCAATAACATGAAGTGTAAGACAGATTAATTACCTGCCACATGCTAGGGAAAACGTGTATTCCCAGACTGGTTGCCGACTGATTACTGGAGGTTGCTGGCTGTCATTAAGTAAAAAAACCTTGTGGTTGCTTTGGTCACTAGCAGATTGCAGCAGTTTCCTGTAATTTGCCTGGAAGATGCCTACTTTTCAGTTTGCGTAATGCTTTATTCAACTTTAACTACACTCGAAGAGTAAATGGCGAGTATTTGCAGGCAAATTGCTTCAGCTAACTCTAGCAACCAACCAGTGACAGAATGCACACTTTTACATGTTTTCCCCACGTGACTGGTAGTTTCTAGATGAATTGTGTGACATTAGTGTATAACAGATATATTAATATGTGGTGAGTATATCAGCTGATCTAAAACAAGAAATGTGTCACCATTATATTAGGTAAAGAAACACATTTGTCTTGAATATATCACTCGAATCTTTTTTTCAAAAGGCAAAAACAAACAAAAAACAATAAAAATGCACGAGACTGCAGTTCCTTGAGTGGCCACTTGAGGCTCACTTCAAAAGTCAGTGTGTCCCCACAGACTCCACAGATTGAAAACGTGACGTCATTCCGGGGTAAAACCGCAAAGGATTCTGGGAACGCGTGGCAAGCGGTACTAGCGCACGCAGGCTTTCAAATGAAAACAGTCACACAGCGATAAAAAGAAACACAAAAAATGGCAAGAAGCTGTTGTATTATTAACTGCAATAGCCGGTCGCATGACAGCCACAGGAAGCTGACGGGTAAAGAGATTGTTTTTTATCGGATTACGTCGTGGAAGAGAAATTGTTCACGCCGTGTTTCCAATGAAACAAAAACTGACGGATGGCCTGGATTGCAGCCATTCGAAGACCAAATATAACGTATAAATCTTATATTGATTTGAATTGAATTCATTGCGCTATGCTGCTTTGTTCACTGTGGCTTTGCGGGCTAATGTTTTGTTGTGTTTTGTAGGGAAACCAGCCTACAAAATGCTGGAATGCGATCCAGACTGTGCACCCTCTATCAGCCTGAGTCATACCGAGTTTAAAGCTGCTACCACAGCGAGATTTGATCGGTTAAGAGAGAGAGTGATATCAAAACAGCCACGCAACGTCCGGCATATATGTGCCCAAGTGTTGTATTGAAGCAATCAAGTGATGAATAACTGTTTTCCAGTATGTTGTTTTGCAATGTTTTGGGTTTTTTTGCATTGTTGATTTGTTTTTTAACGACACAGCTAATAAAGCATAATGGAATACAATTTTGCCTCTTTCTTGTAAAATTCTATAATAGAATGAAACAATAATGCCAGTTATAAATAAAGACAATAAATTGAATAAATTACAAAACACTCATTATATGTCTATTAGATCTGAAAATGTTGTGTAACACTACAACCTGAAACGACAAATAGATTGCGTTTGCCTGTAAAGGAGATAAAGGAAAAGAATTTAACAACAGATGTGAAATGGAATAGTCCAAATCACCAAAGTAAACTGGACCTGGGCTTGTTGCAGGGATCTGAAGTTAATAAACATCTTGTGAGTGTATGCACTCACACTTAGGACCATATAATAATAAATATGTCCGTGATGAAAGTTGGGCAGCACGCTAACGTCCTTACTCCACTCTGTATGCTCGTAGGGGTCTGACACTTTCACTCCTTTGATTTTCTCCTCGTCCTTTTTTTTTTGCCTTTTCGTCATGTCTGTCTTTGTACGGACGTTTTATACATAACTGTTTTTGGGGCAAATAAAATGCAAGTAGGGATTAAAACCGCAGAATTAATGATTACCGGTGCTGGAAATACTAGCGCTTGATGCAGTGTTTTGATTTTGTTGCCACGGGTACCCACAAAGTCACGTGGTCTGTCAATCTCTATATTAAAAAGCCGAATTTTTGCAGAAAAAAAACCAAATCTATTACAAAATCTGATTTAGTCTCTATATTATAAAAACAAAAAAACAACATGGCGATGGATCTAAAGCTAAAATTTAGACCGGCTGATGTCAAACACTCGCTATATCCATCTTTTATATACAGTCTATAGTCCATCTATTTTATGAGTGTGAGTGGTGCCTTGTTTTAAAATAATACATAGCTGAGAAACTTGATTTTGGTTTTATGGATTTTAAACAAATCATGTAGATGTTGCGTGTTACTGTTAGAACATCACTGACACTATGCTATGACAGGCATATAATTGCAATACAGCATGCTATTAAGACGTTAGAGACACAGCACTCGCCCACTTCCTCTTACAGGAAATCAAACTTATAACATTGATATGGGACTTCATTTCTTCCACTGAGTGAGCGTAAAACACTCACAAGAGGCACATCACGGGAACAATCAGTCAGACACGCAGATGGCACACTCACGCCGACAGACAAGCACTAGCCAGCTGACAGACGGACACTCTCATGGTGGGAATGCATCCTAATACTCCCCACAGATGGAGGGCTCAGATCACCCAGAGGGAATCCTCTGCAGTGATATCGCTAAGCATGACTCACACAGGAGAAACCAATGAAACGACAGCACTCGCACTCAGAGTCATGGATCTCTCACATAAGAGCCCTCGAAAATAGTACGACAAGCACACCTAATCAACTGAACAAGGTGCTGGAAGAGCTTTTAGTGAGAAGAGAAAGATACTCACAGCTGTCCTCATCATCCTGGAAGACTTTGCTTACGTAGCAGGCGTAAACAAAGCCAAAGAGCTGTTGGAGAGGAGATGATCAGAAATAAATACAAGGGTTGTTCTGTTAGCTGAGTCACTGCTGACTTGTCCAATATTTCTCGGAAAATGTTTTAGCATGATATTGAGGGTCAGCAAAGTGATACAAAACCAAAAAATGAATGTACAAGAACGTGTGTGTGTGTAAGTGTGAGTGTGTGTTTGATACGTACAGCCAAGAGGATCTGAATGGCTGAGCTCAACACCTCGATGTACTGGTAGTCGAGCAGACACCCGGACACAGTGATGACATGGTGGTCATCGGGGGCCATGCGGGAGTCTAATACTGGTGTTACCAGGCAACCAGGACCGTGCTCCATCCACCACGAACGATGGAGGGATGTGTTGAACGTCATGAGAAAGTCTCTATCCTAAACACACACGCATACAGTAGACACAGAGCTAATTGTCATTCTCTTACTGCATCTTAAAGCTTCTTTTAATTGTTATTAATACGGTGATGCTTTTCTTCTGTCTTCTGCCATGTCTACACTGTTATGTTAAACATAACCAGTTATTAATGAGGTCAGTCTACGTAGAAGTAATACAGATCAAACTTGAGATTCTTTGCTTGGTTTTGCAAAAAGGGAAGACAATCAGAAAAAAAGTTGTCTTAAAAGTAGAGGAGCAAGTGAATGAACACAGTGGCTGAACTGAGATGAATACGGATTATTTTAAACTTTAAATCACTCAAGGCTAATTTACTAGGATCGAAAAAGAAAAATACGGATGTAAAAAGACCTGCCTTAATCGTTAAGTCTAAAAAATACTTCTGAAAAAAGCGACATAGAGCCAGAGAACTGCTAATATTTGGTAGCTGATGCAAAGTAAAATGATCTATAAAAATGTACTTAAATATAACAACAAAACCATACAAGTCAGAACAGGGGTCGCACACAAAACACAACTTACCTGAGAGAGGTTTCCAACCTCCAGGTAGAAACAAATAATGAAGGAGTTCCATCCCACCCAGACGACCAGCCATACTGCATACTGCCAAACAGAGACACAGGGATCGGTGTTTGGGGACAGTAAGTTACACACACAGTTAGTGCAGGAACTGGGACTCCGGTGCAAGATGATGGATATACACTACTCACAAAGATGAGGTATCTGAAGCGAAACTGCACAGTGCCAAACATGCCCAGGATGACGGCCATAATGTGCAGGAAGTTGGCCAGAATGGGAGCCCACTGGTAGCCCAGGAAATCAAACACCTGCCTCTGAAGGGCTGCCACCTGGGAAGGGGTGGGTCACACACACAGACACACACACGTATATATGCATATTAGGAAAGAAACAAGCACACATGCAAATATAAAGGACAGAAAAACACAACACACACACACAAGTAGTGAAGGCTACACACACACATACAGTGACAGGGAGACACATACACAGGTCTGCCGCAGTTGTTTCCATGGTAACTGCCTGGAGCACCAGCCAGTCCAGTGACTGTAAAAAAAAAAAAAAAAAAAAAAAAAAAAGAGGAGCACCCCCAAAAAGCTCCACCAAACTAATGAGAATCTATGGGCCAAAACCCTGTGCCGCACAACAACTCATCAGCCGGGCAAACAATAGCCTCAATAACTGCTCCTCACACTGCTGCTGTCCACGCCTGCATCACACTCACTGCAGGGAGATGTTACAGTCACTCTTATAACACAGTCATCACCCTTGAGAGTGTCAGTCCTGAGCTATTTCAGAGGAAAACAAACATCCAACTTTCACTCTACAGTAGAGACCAGGTGGTGAGAAGAGCATTTTTGTTCTTTACATTCAGATGATGTTTTTTTCTATATGGAGCTATCAAGCCTCTCTTTATAAACATAGACGACCCTGACACTAAAGACCCCCCTACCCTGTACCCTTCTGCTTTATACACACACCCTAGCCTGTAATGTGGCATGGCACCCCAGCAGCTGCAGCTCAAAGCTTTTTCCTTGTGTGACTGCATGAAGAGGCCAGACAAACATGTCTGATTACAATGTGTGAGTCTGTAGCACGCTGCTCTAATTATATCTTCATGGTGAGTGAGTAGAAACACACACACACACACACTTACCAGCTGCAGTGAACATATCACCAGCAGCGTGCATCTCCCGTCGCACTTCCCCATTTTGGAGGGCTCAGGACGCGGCTTGGAGCCGCGGAGGCTCCGGGGGAAAGATGGGTCCCCGGTCAGATCCAGACTGCCTGGTCGCCTCAGCTCACAACATTCCCGGCTGAATAGACGTGCCCAAGGCCGCCGCCTCCTCCAGCAGCGCTGGTCCGGCTCTTCCACTCACAGTGGATGACCCATCTTGGCCTCTGCTTTTTTTGTTTTTGTTTTTTGTAAATAACAGTCGCGGGTGGGTTTCAGGAAGGAGAGAGGTGAGGAGGAGGTGAAGAGGGTCCAGTTCACGCCTGCTGCGGTCTGACCACCACAGAATCACCTCGGCCACACCTTCCGAAGAGGGGCTACACAAAGACACAAAGAGAGACGGAAAGCTGTCATAATCCGCTCCGGGCTACAGACAGAAATGAGCATCATATGATACCGGATCACACGGGGGTGGTGGCGGTGAGGAGGAGGAGACCGACCCCGCAGTGGTGGTACTACAGCTAACGTTTGGCTACATACACTACGGACACAAAGCAGCCCGTTGTGACTCACGGTTTTCTAGGAGCGGAAGAGTATCGCCCCCCTCCCCACCTCCTCCTCTCCCAACGTCCGTCGTCTGGATCGTCTTCTCCTCGAGCTGCTCGCGGGGGAAGAAGTCAAGTTAGCGGGCGGTTTTTCTTACCGATACCGGGCTCCTTTGCTCCGTCTCGCAGCGCCTTTTGTCAACAATCGGTGCCGGGGCAGGAGCAGGAGGAGCCGGGGGGAGAATGAGAGAGAGAGAGAAAGAGAGAGAGATAGAGGGGGTGGAGGCTCTCAGTCACCGCGACCCCTCGAGGATGAGCTGCATGGATTCTGCGGATCCGCGTGCGCGAGGGAGTCAGCGAGTGAGCGCGAGCGAGCAGCCCCGCGAGGCTTTTGAAAGGATCACAAAAGAAATGGGGGCCCGCGGTGGGTGAGGGGGTTCAGACTTGTGGAGGAGGAGGAATAAAATCGCCTCCTCCCTCCAGCACCACCATCCAGACCGAGGAGAGGGAGAGAGGGGAGGCTGGCCCCCGGAGGTGCTGCCCTTTTCCTCAGCTTGTGGTTATTCGGAGCGGAAATAAACACAATTAACAGCCTTGTTTAATCTCAGCTACTTACCACGAGCAGCGCGACAGCACAATACAGTGAGCTGCACACAAGCTATATCAGAGAAGGAGGCAGATGATGAGGCGGCTATTGCAAAGGGCCACGCAGGAATCAATGAGCAAGACAAATGTTTTATTTGGACTTGTAATTCACCATGTTTTTGTGTCAAATCTTTGCAAATAAAGAATTCTGAGTTGTCCTGTTTTGATACATTAAAGCACAGACTCCTTTGGGCTCTACTGAAGTAGATATGCAGTCAAATATAATTCTAAGTGCGGTACAAAAGTATTTGCCCCCCAGTCGTAACCACTTTTTAAGTGGTTCAGTTCAGTTCCACTAACCACACCCAGACCTGATTACTGCCAGACCTTATGAATCAGGAACTCACTTAAACAGAACCTGTTGGACAAAGTGAAGTAGACTAAAGATCTAAAAATAAAAAACCAAACAAAAAAACAACAACAACACAACATGCCATAATCTAAAGGAACTCAAGAACAGCTGAGAAACAAACTGACATCTATCAGTCCTGAAAGGGTTATAAAGCCGTTTCTGAGACTTTCGGACTTCAGTGAACCACAGTAAGAGCCGTTATCCACAAATGGAGAGAACCTGGAACATTGCAGAATCTTCCCAGGAGTGGTCCACCTGCCAACGTTACTCCAAGAGCGCATCAACGACTCATCCAGGAGGTTACAAAAGAACCCAGAATAAAATCTGAACTGCAGGCCTCAGCTGTGTCACTTAAGGTCAGAGTTTGTGATTCAACAAGACTGGGCAAAAATGGTATCCATGGGAGAGTAAGAAGAAAGCCACTGCTAACCACAAAGAACATGACAGCTTGTCTCACAGCTGCCAAAAACATCGTGATGATCACTAGGACTTGTGGGAAAATATTCTGAAGACAAAAGTTGAACTTTTTGGAAAGTCTGAGTCCTGTTACATCTGGTGTAAAACTTACACAGCGGTCTGGTGCTTCAGGTTTTGGAGTGACTGAGTCAAAGTCTGGACTTAAATCAGATTGAAATGCTTTGGCATGATCTTAAACAGGCTTTTCATGTTCAAAAATCCTCCAGTGTGACTGAATTAAAGCAAATCTGCAAAGAAGAGTGGGCCAAAATTCCTCCACAGCAATGTGACAGACTCATTGCTAGTTATCACACACGGTAGATTGCAGTTCTTACTGCCAAGGGTGACACAACCAGTTATTAGGTTTAGGGAGCAATTAGTTTTTCACATAGAGCCTGGTAGATCTGGATAATTCTTTTTTCCATTAATAAATGAAATCATTTTTTTAAAACTGCATTTTTTTTATTCAGTCAGGTTATGTTTGTCAAATGTTAAATTGGCTTGATGATCTAAAACACGTAAGCTAAAACCTAAGAAATCAGGAACGAAGCACATACTTCTGTTGGGCCTTAGGGCAGCCCCTCACTTCATCCGCTCTGTGAAATAAGCTTTTCAAGCCAATCTCTCTCTTTGAGACAACTTTCTTCTGATTGGCTGCCTCCTTCAAGCAGAAGGTTTTAGCAGCAGTTGGGTGGGGTTGCTGTGTCTGTGATGACCATATAAGGGTGTCATCTTTCGTTGATGTCATAGAGATCCAAGAGTAGAAAAAAGTGCCTGACACAGAGTGTTTAGAGCAGCCTGAAGTTTGAGTTTTGTGTCACAGAGATTTTTTTCTTTTTCTTTTTATTTATTTTTTATTTTATTTTTTTACATAAGATGACATCACTATTTCAAATTTTGGGCATGTTTAACTCAAAAATTCACCCTTGTTACCAGAACCAGCCCTGGGCATAAGCTGGCAGAGCAGCTGCTCTGAGCCCCCCCACACCAACAGGGGGTCCCCCAAGAGAACACGAAATGTAACAGTGTTAATTACATAAAACATAAATGAAACATTCATGCACACTGTAACAATTTGAAACCAATCATTTCAGAAACATCGGGAAGACTGAAGTTCATCGCAGGGATCAAGCAGGACTCATGATCTTCACCAACAGCTCCTCGGAGGGAAATCGTCTTCTCCGCCATAGGGCCGTCCCAGAAGATGAACAGAGGTCTAAAGGTCATGTGCTTTAGAAATAGGAAACAAAATCCAGCAAGGACCTGAGAGATGTATTTGGTCATTCAGCTCCACTGTTCACAAAAGCCTCAACAGAAATGGTATCAGTGGAAGGGTGGCTGTCAAGAGGCCATCATGAAATACCATCTGGAAAGAGTCACACAGTGGGACACTATCAGTCATGGACTGGTCTCCCCAGAGCCCAGATCCTAACATTATTGAAGCAGTGTGGGATCTTCTTCACAGAGAACAGAACAAAAAGCAGCCAACATCCAAAGAAGGGCCTTGAATGTTCATCAAGCCCAGAGAACTATTCTTAAAGACTACTTAAAGAAAGAAAGCTGCCTATGAGAGTTCAGGCTGTGCTGAAGAATAAAGGTGGTCATGCTAAATATTCAGCACTCTATTTAGATTCTTTGGAGTACCCCGAGTGAGACCGAATTGAAGTCATGCACTACAGACAGTTAGAAAATTAAATTCTTTTAAATGAATTATGCTGAGGTATTAATAGCTAAAAATGCACTGTCTACAAGTAGTACTGGTCTTACTCGTCTGTGAAATAATGAGTTCATTTCAGGTCTTTGAAAAAACACACACACACAAATGCACACGCAGTTACACAATAGGGCTTTATAAAATATGTAAAGCACACTTTCTCTTAAGAATGGTAAAACCTTTATTAGGAAAACTGCAGCCAATAAGAAAATGCACAGGATAACATAAAAAACAAAGCTGTGTGGGGAGCTAGCAGCCAGTTTATGGTGTTTTCGAACTGCACGCATAATGAATCCCAAACAACTTGGAGTGGATTGTAAAACTGCACCATAAACCTCCAAACCACACATTTAACTTGTACCATTGTACCACTGCATAAGTGATTTGTGAACCCTTTACTGAGATTTCTGCTCTGACGTCTTGTAAAATTATAGACAGTCACAACGGGACCAAACTAATAGCACATTTTTCATGTCTTTATGAAGCCCTGAGATAGACTGGCAACCTGAATACGCTGTTAAGAAAATGGATGGATGTCTTTATTAAACACATTAAGTTACAAGCTGTAAGTCCAAGCTGGAAAGAGTAAGTCAGCATCTATACCTCAGTAATGATTTCTCCAAAAGATACTCCGAACAAGACAAGTTAACAAGATAGGATAACAGATATTAATCCCTTTAAATCCTTGTAAGATAAATGCATGCAAAGTCACACAGTTAAATCGCAAGTTCCCTAAAAAACATTACAGAGACGAACAAAGCTGGAGGCTACAAAACCAACATCCAAAGATGTTTCTGTTCATCAGTCCACAGTAAGAAAACTCTCTACAAAGAGCTGAAATTCAGACCTGTTTCTATGCTAAAAGTGCAATCTTCACGTTTAGTTTGGGGTTAGTTTTAGTCTTGTTTTCATTACAATAATAGGCATGATATTTGTCAGGGGAATATTTATTTAAGAAGTTCAGAATTGATATTAAAATATGAAACAGAACACTCTGTAAAGACAGCGGAGTCAGATTGATGTAAACATGGTAAGTGCCAATAAACACATCCACAAAATCCTCTTCAGAACGATCCTTTTGGTATCCATCAATAGGCTTTGTGCATAATTCTGGTTAGATATTTGACCAATCTTTTTAGCAGAATTGGCAAAGTTCATTTAGTTGGTTGGTTTCATGGATTGGACCCAACTTTTAAGATTAATTCACAAATTTTCATGGATTAGTTTATGCATCCGAAAACCAGTTTTGATGTATTTGGGATCATTTTCCTGTTGGTACTTCCAAGTGTAAACTGTCTCCCTGTTGATTTGCGGTGAAGTTGAAGAATTTGCTGGGAGTCCTGTCACTGTGGCCAAAAAAGCTTAATTTTTGTCTCATATGACCCATCAACCTTGTCTCCAGATGGCATTTGGTTTGTCCGCTTTTTTCTTTGTAAGCATGTTATTAGTCCATGTGATGGCAGTTTCCAGTTCTTTGCAGGCTCGAGTTTTTGTGGTTCCTGGGTTATTCCTGAACATCATAACCAACTTCCTGTCACTGAGGGTGACAGTTTGGGTCTTGTCCAGACCTTCACAAAGTGGTAACACATCAGAATTACTTGTACTCACTGATTAACTTGGAACCTGCAGTTGTTTAGAAATGGCTCCAAGAGACCATTCCAACCTGTGTAACTCGACAATTCTCTTTCCTACATCTTCACTGACTTCCTTGGACTTTTCCGTTGTTCTGAATATTAGTCAGTCCAATGAGTGATGTCACACAAATCCTTTTTATGATGGCAAATAGAAACTACCAGTTGTAGTCAAGCACGATCACTAACAAGTTGATAGAATTTGGCCTTTCCACATTAAAAGACATTGCGTAACCTTTAGCAGAGCTTATTAGAAGATTTGGGTGAGTATGTGTGGAGGAGTATGCATACTTTTGGCTCTGTGTGGATTAAAGAAAATAGTAATGCTGTACTATTATTTCACCCTGGAAAAAAGAAGTTTAAAATCCCAGAATTACCATATCATTTGTGCCCATGATGAGTGAATGTGAACTTCAGATCTGAACCTGAACGGCCCTCACTGAGAGCTGTGGCATGATTAGCAGAGGGTTGCTCGGTGCTAATAATAGAAATCTCCAGGAATTGCAACAGTTTTGTTAGAGGAATGTCAACATGTTCCCAGGTTACATAAGTTAAATAAGAAGGCATCTGATCAAGCTTACTGCTGCTAAAGAAAGTTTTCCCAAGAGACGTTATTCACTAACTTTTCAAGATCCCGATTGCTCACTCCCTGTTTATAGTATAAGTTTAACCTGATTGTGTTTATAATGGTAATTACATGAAGATTCAATCATTTTTCTGGTTAATCAGTTTAGAAATACTTGTAAAGGCTCCACAAACACAACAAAGCATTTCAGTCAAAAAATAATTTGACAGCTTTTTTTTTTCTTTTTTCAGAATATTGAAGTTTATTATAAAGCAGTACATCAGAATAAAAAAAAAGAAGTCGCTGTGGAGGTTCTTGTGCCTGAGCCTAATAATCTTCAAACGCATCCTGAGGTTCT